TTTACATCACTAACATGGGAGCCCCCACTGTACCAGAGTAGGCTTAGTATTTTTTGGTACAAGATTTATCTAACAGCTTTTGGTACAAAATTCAATTTCTGCAATCACAAACCTCTGTTAGAAACTGACATACGGTTTTTAGCAGAATCCGATTTTCTGATGGAAGCATCTCCACAATCTCGATTATTCCGCCAAGTTTATTATCTTTCGGTAATTCTAAAAGAAAAAAGTAACAAATAATAATGATAATGATGAATAATAATGATAATGATAATAATAATGATAATAATAATGATAATGATAACAATAATAATAACAGTATCAACAACAGTGATAATGATAATGGTAATGATAACAGTAAAAACAATGACAACAATAACAGTAGCAATGTGTGATTTTCGAGAAACTAACAGCCAGCAGGCTGACTACCACGCGAAAAAACACCGGTCAAAGGATGAGAAAAGTTGCTAGCCGCAAAGTCCGAAAAATAGCTTGTAGTTATACCTCGTCAAAAAAAAACAGTCAAAACAATCTGAAAATGACAAAAAAAAAAACAAAAAATTCACGAAAATGCCGTGACCCATAGATCTTAACATGCAAAAATACGTAAAAATCATACCAGCAAGTGCAGCAAGATTAGGATAAAGTGCATTTGTTGTAACAGGTTCGCCAAGCGAACGAAGAAATGTTTTCAACAAAACCGATGCATCGATGGAGGCCTGTTGCAAATTATCCTTGTATGGTTCGTCATTCAGGAAATCTATTCGTTCGCCTGAAATGTGTGAAATTTGGATGTTGATCGGCTTAGTGTTATGGCAAATAGCGCTATTCTTAAGCTAAAAAGGGGGGGGGGGAACCAATCCCTCTACAACTCGGTCACTCGTTTTTCGATCGTAATTCGATATCCATACATGCCAAAGAGTCAAATCCGCCATCTGCTTGCTTTTATGCAATACTTCGAAGAGAGAGCCAGCGACAAGCCTTGCTAGAGGATCATATTCTTTCTTTACACTGTGCTAGCAGTTGAACTGTTTCTCTTCCAACAATAAGAAATTACGGAAGGATTTTGACCTCTGAGTTTCACGGAATTTGAAAAATGTCAAATGGATCGTTTCCACGTAACATACGGGTGCTACTTCATCCGGAGTATGATGCTTTTGGAAATCAAAAAATTAGCTTCTGGCAAAAGCACATCTGCTCTCATTGCTGATGGCCGTTGCCGAACAACGTAAAAGGATCGATAACAGTTGAGATGACAGAAGGCGGATCCAGGGCGAACTCCAGGGGGAGGAGGAGAAAGAGGGAGAAGGGCTGGAGAAGAGGGGGGAGAGATCCATCCTACTTTGGAACTATGCAAAAACTAGGAATAAAGTTGTAACACTGCTACTTAGAGTTAGTCGAGAGTTACTTTAGGCCTCAGTTTACTTCAGCTTTAGCTTTAGACCCAAGCTTTTGCAACACTAGTAGCTATGCCGTTTGGCGGCTCCTGGATCCGCTTAAGAATGTAGACAATTCAGCATCTGCCCCTGGGAAAGAAAGAAGCGCCATCACCAGAAGGTTATCCACTAGGTGATGGCGGTCCTCAACATCTCAATCGTGAAAAGGATATTAACTGAACTGATGGTGTGAAAATGCGCGAAAGCAAAACGCCAGCTGAACAAGGTTAGTAAAACCAATAAAAATTATGATTTTTTTTCCATCTAAAAGCAATCTGATCAAATTATCAGGTTTAGATTTCCCGATATTTATGGTCAAGATCAGATTTAAGGAATTATTACAGTTATTTTTAGGAATTATGATTTTCGACGACCTAAGAGTTTAAAAGTGTACCCATATTGATTCGTTCTTGAAGCCGCTTGATGGAATTAACTTCAGCGGAACGTCGAAAAAGTCCAGCAACATTCAGTGAATTCTCACGTAAAAACGCAATGAGATCAGTGACCACTGGAGGTATATCACAGTCCGGATTATGCGATAAAATGCTGCAAAAAAAAAACACCTTAAAACAGGCACGCATAGATACCGAGAAAAACCTGAACAGAATATTAATTACCGTTTCTATAGAACACTGCGCCTATGACAGTAATTCCAGCCGTTCTAATATGTTCAGATATATAAAAAGAATTGGTAAGGAATCGTGTGACAAGAATGACAGACAACAGATGGACGAAATGAATAAATGACTGGCATCTACGACATGACGAAAGAAAAGCTGTAAGTTCGATGAAGTGCTTAGCCGATTTGCTAACTCGAATGTACGGAGTGTGCTGTAAATGCGAGGAGCCTAAGATCGAATTCTACGGCATGTTGGCTAATTCTGTGGAGAGAGGCACGAATTTTTGGTCACATCAGAAGATGAAAGGATCGCCAATTTGTTACAAACAATAAGATTGTGAGTAAATTGACCAAAATATGATGACAAAAGTGAAAAAAAAAAAAAAAAAAAAAAACTCGAAAAGCTGGCGAATGCGTATTCGGGGAGAAGAATATGAATTTCCAGTTATTTCAGACATTATGAGGTCAGCGGCGAGAAAACATTTATCCCTCATTGTGGTTTCATCACCGTCAAAGTGATGTAAATTTGAAGTAAGAAGTAAAACGACTTACAACTGCAATGAGACATTGAATTGCTGTGTTGGACGAGGCGCTGGACATAGAGTTCTTGTTGATGTGGATTTATTCACCGTAATTCGTGAAGCCAGCAAAAGTGATGAATCATGGCTGAAATACAACAGAGCTTTTTTAAAATCGCTAATACCAAAAAGCCTGGGCAATAAGGGTGGGTATTCCATGTAAGTGATTTTACTGAAATAGCTTTTATGTGCCGATCCCAGCTCTTGCCGGGCCTTACCATCCTGAACCATTTATATGTGCAAATAATAGAAAATGAAGCAAGCAAAGTATGAGATTTTATAATTTGAAATTTTTTATGCTTTCGATAATGAAATTTTTATTTTCGGTTTTATCTGAATACTTTAAAAAACGTAAAAAATTAAGCAAAGTATGAAATTTTACAATTCGAAATTTTGTATGCTTCTGACAATGAAATTTTTTACACAAGCTTTATGATTTTTTCGGTTTTATCTGAATACTTTGAAAAATGCAAAAAAAATTTTTTTTCATTTTTACTACAAAAATGTAAAAGATTTCAAAACAATGTAAAAAATTTTAACTAAATTGTATAAAATTTTTTCGTCTTCGCCCAGAAACGGAAAATCCTTCCATATCACACTGCTTAAGTAAAAAATCACTCAATGTGGCACATATACAACGAACAGGCAGTGGGTACTAACTGGTCCTGCGCATCCCAGGGGATCGAAGAACGTGGCATAGCTGCCATAAAAATATTGAGGGCATTCCAGTGACATTATTAACTTTAAATCCCATCACTGGCTATCAGGCGATTTTTTAGTATTCTTTGTAATTTAAATGATTAAAAAAGCAAAGAAAAAACAAACTCTTTAATAGGCTGAGGAAGATTGAGTTGTTCCACACGTAGCGCTGAATTTAATTCGTGCAAATAATCGACGTAGTGGATTTTTCGTTCGAATTTGATCGAGATAAACGGCTTGAAAATACTCCAAACGAAGCGTATGAATCGTGTCGGATGCACCAAATATAAAGCTTTCAAATTTTTCTTGTACCTGCAAAAAAATTAGGTTGTAAAA